TCTTTGTTCTAAACGACATTCGAATTTGGAGGCAGATCACGGTGATGAGCTGGCTGCATATAAAGAAGGCTATCAGAGTTGATGTTTTTCCTTGGTATATTTTAACATTTCCCCCGTCAATATTCCTCGTCAGTTCTAATCCTTCATGAGAGAATTTAGAACTACTGGTATATACTTTCCCCGCCGAAAATTCAAAGACATAATACTAAACAAGAAAAGAAAAATACTAATCCAAAAGAAAAGACCCCATCTCATCTCCCTCCAACCTGTCCCTTCGGAATAGGTTTCACCCACGACACTGCTACATTTACCGCAATTGTGAAGACGCCAATAATCCAAAAACACTTCGCATAATCTTTCCCTTCGTAGCGGAAAATAATCGCAAATACGATTCCTCCCAAATTTCCACACGCGCCAACGACTCCGCTAATGATTCCATTGGCAAATGGATGGATATGGGGCACGAGCGAAAAATTCGCCCCATTGCCTGCTTCGAGGAAAAGTCCCATGCCTGCTACGAGTCCAAACATTGTGGAGTGACTATGTGAATCCGTGAGTCCGATGGCGATCAAAAAGGCGCCGGTGAAAATGGCAAGAGTGTGTAGCCAAATTTTCTTCGCCCAGACGTTTCCTGTTTTGCGATAGAGCAGATCGGAGAGAATGCCGCCTAGAGGACGGAAAGCAATGTTGAGGAGACCGAACATGGCTGCCCAGCGACCGGTTCCGGCTTCGCCTAGTTTGGGGAAGTTTTTGAGATAGTAGGAGCCGAGGATGGAGTTGATGGCTAGCTCGGCGCCGAAGGAACAGAAGTAACAGGAGGCGACGAGGAGGGTTTGTGGGGTGAGGATTACGTTGAGGGCTTCTTTGAAAGAGGGTTTTTGGATTACTTCGCCGCGAGCGATGGTGAGCATTTCTTGGGGAGGGAGGGGAGCTTCGTTGTTGTAGGGTTCTGCGGTGCTATGCTTGGCGGATGCGATTTGTGCTTCTTCTTCGAGACGTTTTTCGTTGCCGAAGGTGGAGTTTGAGGATGAGACGGGATCGGTGGGTGAATGGATGTTATCAGGCTTGCGGTCAGTGATTGAGCCAGGGACGGATACTATATTGTCCGAGGGGCTGTGGATGCCGTGAGCTCGGAGATTTTGTTGGACAGCAAGGTGCCGATCTGACCATTTGCCAGTTGGAGTATCAGGGCAGAGGATGAGCATCGATATGGCTGTTGTGGTTATGAGAATAAAGGGGACGATGAAGGATACCCTCCAGGCGACGTGGGAAGTGAGTCCTTGGTTCAGTATCAGAGAGTCGACAATGGCTGGCATGACGAAATAAGTTATTCCTCCTCCACTGTGTGAGCAGATATTAGTATGCGATAGTTGCTAAGTGGGGTGTTGTGTATGTCAGGGTAGTTACTTACGAATTTCCCCAACCCCCAGTCAAGGAGTTGGCCGTACCAACAATGTTCTTATCGAAAAAACCAGTGGACCATACTTGACATGGAACAAAAGAACCGCCGAGTATACCAATGAAGAATCGGAGGACCATAAGACCGGTTGCAGACGTCACGGTGCCGGCAAGAGCAGTCGGAATGGCTCCGAGTAGTAAGCATCCTGCAAATGTAACCTTGGGGCCGAAATGATCGCAACATGGGCCTGCGACTAATCGGACGAGGAGTCTGTAGGGTGAGTGTTAGTATTGTGAATAAACACTGTACATGCAGTTTATTATACATACGTCGCCACAAGAGCAATAATGTTGGAATTTGCAATCTCATTTTGAGTGAGATGAAGATCTTTCTTGATTGTGAGAGATAGCTGGAACAGGTCAGAAGGCGAAGAACGACAAGCGATAGAACTAGATCATACCAATGGCGGAAAGGCATACCTGATACAAGAATTAGCGTGATGTGAGGATAATAAACAAAGGGGGGTTTGGATGACTAACCAGGACCAAAAGGCTATCAAGAAGCCCCACCAGGAAAAGAAGAACACTCTGCCGTATTTGTTGAACGGATTGAGGACGGGGATAGATCGAGCTTTCCCATTGACTGGGTTGATCTCTGGCGCTTGCCAGAGTGTTTGGATTTTGAACATGGCAAAGCTGGTATGATATTTGAGATGAGAAGAGAGTTGTCAATTGAGACTCGTTCTGTCTGGATTATTTCTGAACACGACTAATTTTTGAATTCTCAACTCGAGTAGATACAGATTGTTATAAATTGCTGATCATCTGAATAAGGAAATCGAACGCATATATAAATTATGAAATGATATAGCCTGAGATCATAGATAAGTGACGCTCGCCCACTGGTAGTTGAAGCATCTCCGGCAGAGCAATCTTAGGTTGAATCTATAGGGCGATTTAATAATGCCATGGATCACTTCCTTGCGCAGATCGAAGGTCGACCAGAAGTTTGGCGCGGGTACGGAACGCCTCGTCTGTGCTTGATAGATAAGCGGCGAGCTGGGTGTAGTGTAGGTGAACCGAATATGGGACACTCCAGCTTTGAAGTCTTGGGCGCCAATATCTGGTGGCTGTCAAACTATCTAGATGTGTATCTTGAGGCTGGGATATCAGAGATCTCCGGGATGGATGGGAGTGGGAGATCTATGTTTGTGAGGTCGGGGTCGAGATCATTCTTGGGGATTTTACACGGTTGATATGATTGAATATGCAAGCAATACTGTCACGGCAAAATTCTCTCGAGAGTAACCCGTGGAATGTTGAGGGACAATGTTGACCACTTCGTAACTTGTACTTGGATTGTGAATTCTTTCCAACATTCATGTGACTCGGGAGCTGAAAGCAATGCTCGCGAAAGCAATACCGTGAAATAGACGGCGTCTTTGCATTCTTACTCCCAAGCATCATGTATTTGCTTCCCCGAGTATATATCCTAGTGCCCTGGGGTTATCTTGATAGAGAGCAATCGCAGGCACCGTCATAGATGAATTGTCGCGCCCATGATTTGAATGTGTATGAACACTCATTAAAAGAAGCTCGGCGCAAGCAAACCTTAATTTCAAGATAGCCAATGACGGTGGCTATAATCTAACAAATCGGTGTCATCACCAACCAAAGACTGGTTGGAGGCAGCTCTAAAGGTCCTGGAGGGGAGAGAAACGCATGAATGAGGAAGTCGCGTCGTCGGGTCGTCGCTTCTTATCTTTGACGAGGCTTAGCGAAGCCGAGAACGGGAATCGACCCACCTTGGAGATAAGGATTGTGGGGGAAAATTTCGAGTTCTGATGGTTCTGCTGTGAAAAAGAAATGGAGGAGATTGTCGGTGCTGCATCTGTGATATATATGTATCTTCCTTCTCCGCGGCCACTCGCGTCTGGAATTTCTCGCTGTCACAGTTTTCTATTTCGATGTACGATACGGCTGAGAAATAGATATCTAAGGTTACCTACCTAGTGTTTTGAGCTAGTTTCCGTTCCCGTTCGGTAGCAACCATGCACGCTCGAGAAGATGTGTTCATCAGACCAAGTACCTCTGCAAAATTGGTAGCAACAATAGATTATAGCACATTCAATAATTGTTCCTCGAGATACATGATTCCAGAGTTATGTGTGAGTTCAATTACCATTCTTCAATCCGTTCCTGGCCGCGGAGATGATCATTTCACTGTCTTGATATCCTCAGGGTCCCTCGTCTTTATAGTTGGTTTCATATCAATCATATCTGTAGGGAGATAAGTAGATAAGTCCCCCACGATAGTGTTATCTTTCATATCTTTGATATCTCTGATATGTGCTCTGGCAACAAACCAATCATCGTGCTTCGTGTTGCTCTGCCGTCTTACATACATTAAGTCTTTTGTTGGACGCCAGGTTCAGGTACAAGTGGGTTTTCAACGATATATATTCTTTTTAGCTTCCGAGAAGCAAAAGCTTAATGGACCAGCTCGTCATTCGCACAAGATATATGGCTCTTTGCTTGATAAGAGCTTCTGATAAGTCTCCTGTTGAACGTACCAGGAGCGGATCAATACAACGTGCAATCTCGAGTTTCAGCGGTAACTTATTTCCAAGGCGTTGAGCTCCAAAGTAGCTGCAGAGGCCTCAAGTACTTGTACCAATCGGGGTCACACCTTGTTTTTTTTCTGAGCTATGCCTGTGTGGACTTTCTAGTATGTTTGGTAGAAATATGATATGTTGGATTCTCAACGAATCCTATCCAATCTATATGGTTCTTGATAGGCTGGAGGAGGTTTGTGTATATAGTCCCTCTACCTTCACTACTTCTGCCCCTCACTTAAGAAAGACTTGGATAGTTTCTTATTATCCTCCATTTCTTCTAATATATCAGCATGTTCACACCAGAAGTTTGCGGCGTAAGAAAGAAAGCAGTTGGCATCTTCACTGAGTCCTTGTCTCCCATCTCTGATGTGGGTTTTAAATGCTCGTCGGAATTTAAATAATATATACAGACAGGTATTGAATAGGAGCAACTCTGGTTATTTCGCTTTCCTCGGCACCTCTACTCTTTCCAGCAAATGGCAAGTTCTAAAAAAGTCGCATATTCTTTGATGAACCAGGAAAGGATTCTGATGGACGATGTTTATCGAAATATCTGGATTCGTTTGGATAATCTCAACATTGAACACGACTTGTTTATCTTTACACTTTTACCAGCTAACTGTGTCTTGAGTCGTGCTAATAGCAGAAGCAATCTCTAATTCCTTAAAGCTAAATGAGTATACTATGTAGGTATGTTATCCAGACCAATATCCTTTGGGATTCTCAGTACTTTTTTAATAGGGTTTCGATATGAGACATTTGACATAATGCTATATATTTATATTGAAAATAGGATTTCATGAATTAATTAACATTACTAAAGGAGTATATGATTGTAAGTATCTACAGCCCTATATTTATATCTATTCATACACTGCGACCACTCGACGTTCTTAGTGCCAGTCTGAGGATTGAGATTGTCAGGGTGCTAATATGCAGCACACTCCTGAACTTAACTGGGTGTGTCAGTAATCGAACTACTTGCTAAGTAAAGATGATTATATCGGGTTTTTTCGAAGAGGTCCCGCCGCCGCCACCGTCGCCCGGCTCCCCAGGTGTTCCAACTACGCCCTTCCGAGCCTGTGAATAGAAAATCGCCTCCAACACCTGTCGATATTTCTCGGAGGTTCCAGCGTTACATATTTTTATGAATCCGCCATTGCCTCCAGTGCCACCAGCACCTCGGTTTCCTCCTTTCCCACCATTGCCGCCAGAGTAAACTTCTTTATACCATTCTGGTTTTTGTTTAAGCATGTCTGTATCATCAGCCTGTCTGTCGTAATCAAATGCTGCTCCATTTCCTCCAGAGCCACCCCTCCCACCTTTGCCGCCATCGCCTCCTTGTCCGCCATTTGCAAGAATCTTGAAGCACGATTTATCCCTGTTGATAGGTACATCAATGACCTTGAAGCTCAGCTCAAACTTGCTGCCCATATGGCCCTGGATACCATCGACACCATGCTTCCCATCCCCACCGTTCAATCCTGGATGGCTGGGCTTCTTGTCATCCATACGTAGGGTCTTCTTTTGAATTGATGAATAAACTTCATGGTTTCTTTTTCATAGTACTGATAACTCGTTGTTCCAACTTCTCCGTTATCGCCATCAGCACCATTGGCCCCCACTGACTTATCGGCCGGAAGATCAGGGCCAGATACATCGATCTCGACTGGCTGATCATCTCGGGGAATGAATATGAGCTTGCGGCACCGAATGGTAATATCATGGCCAGTGAAGCAATATTTGAAGTTTCCGACAAAGATTAATTCATCCGCTACCACGACAATCTTTCTAGGTACATTGCCACCCCGGGCTACATCAAACAGGAATGTGTCTGTTGGGAGGAACTTTCTGATGATATCGTCATGGGATTTATCGGGTAGTATGAAGGCATAGCGATAAGCGACATAGCAAATCGTCTCGTCAGCGGTGCTCGTTGTGATGAAAAGTCCACCAGCATCGACACTGGGGTCTGTCTCAGAGGGCATAATGCAGAGTTTGCGCAGAGACGAAGACTACGACTTTTCGCTGCAGGGTCCTAATTCGTGACGGGAATATTGATTTTTCGAGACAAAAATTGCAATACTAGGAGTGTGTTGAGTAGTGTTCCGATAGAAGACGTTTCCTAGGCTGCTGTCTCTAGCTCAGCTGAAAACGAACCACGGAAAAGGGTGATGGGTTCGTTTGATCTGTTCAAGCTATTCATGAAGCATACCGTATCATGAGTGGAATGGGTTATAAGAACATATTGCTCGAAGGAATCCTCATTCTACCTTGTCAGGCGCCCCAAACTCATTTCTTGGATTTCCCAGCTTGTTGCCCTTCTCTCTCGAGTTTTCTCCGCCCAAAACTACCCAATCCATTTCATGTTCTCAAAGAAGATCTACCATCACACAGCGAGCCTGGCTAACAATAGTCTGGGAAATAAGCCCAGAATTTATTTCTCAAACAATCCATACAAACCGAAATGCAAGGAGGCATCCGGATTGTACGACTTCACCTCGAAGTACTTTGCACTATTCAACAATGGACAATCGCCCTCGAACCGGCAGCTATCGGATATCTTTATTAGTAATGCTAATGCTGCTCACAACTTCTCGTATGGGATTTGTGACAAAGTTGCCAAATTACTATCTGAAGCGGAGCCTAATGCATACGAAGGCAAGAGGGGCCTAGAAGACCACTTCTACGTGAGGAGACAACTGCTCCATTTCGACGTCAATCTCACACAGCATCTGAAAAGTGGCCTCTGGCTAGCGATGTACTGGTCGAGCGTACATCCTGAGGTCTATATCCTAGAGAAAGACTCTGTCATTGCTCAGGAGCTAACCGGGCCCGGGCTCTGCGCGCTGGATCGAACAATCATAGCGGCAGACAAGAAGGTTGCGCTTCAGCAGGGCCACGATGCGGTTATAAATAAGATCATGGCAGAACAGAAGGTTCCCACAGCTCAACTATCTGTGTATATCGGTGGTAACATGGTGGATCTTGCCCAGTTCGGATACAGAGAGTTCTCGGATGGGAGAATTTTAGTCACAGTTCAGGCCATCACGCTGCCGGGAAACCACAGCTTAAGTGGACAGGCTACTCATTGTCTCCAAATCAATCGAGCGAATCCTGAAATAGTGACTTACGTGGTGTATGGAACTGGTGACGGTCATTGGCTCGCTGACAAACGAAACGGGGTAAGCAACTGTGAACACCTTCCCCAAACTCCATTCTGTCGCCTAATCTTCCCGGGGATACTAATTGACTTGCCACATTTAGCCCATCAGTAACGTCTTGTGGCAATGTAATGGCGAGACATTGGTTGAGATGAGTAAAGTCATGATAAAAAAAAAATGAGTTCGGCTCAGAAGCTCGTGACAGAGCCTACACTGGCCTTCTATTCAACATGTGGAAAAAATCTCCCGCAGCCGGATTGCGCCGCTTAATCTGTACCGTGGGAATGACCTGTGCCACGCCGGTAGGGCTCGCCATGGCGCGGCGAATTACCCATATTCCCTACAACGTGGGCGCCCTCGTTCCCTTTGACGAGACAAAACATGAAGAGAATGCTGAACACGAGAAAGGGAATCGAATTGAAATTGAAAATATCAACTGGCTCAATATAACTCCCGAGCAGGTTTGCGCGTTACTTGACCCCACAAAGTTCGACAGCACCAAGCCGATGGCTCCCGATACTCTAGGCGGTCTCCGAGATGGCGGTCGCATTATCAACATGAGCGCCCTACTTCGGCCGTCTTATAGTCTCGCAATGACTAACCTCGCGCATCACATATCGCAGGAGACCTTAGAGGTAGTACGGAAGACCTACGAAAAAGCGATTCAACCATGGATCACGGAGATGAAACTGCTAGAACTCAAGAAAGTGAGCAAGAGATCGTCACCAAGGAGATGATGGAGATAATCAATTCCAGTGGATCCGAAAAACTTGTCCTCCCTAAAGAGCTGGTTCATGAACTAGCCTAGCGCGGTACCCGGGCTTCGGTAGTTCATGCATGGGCCTGGTCACTCTTTCAGAAGCCCCTTCCCGACATCCAAGACGATCTTCTGAGACGTTACCCAAAGACACTGAAAAGGGGGACGTGAAAGAATATCTCGAGGGCCTGGTCGCAGAAACCACCTTTGAGATGACTACCGAGGATAAACTTACCACACAGTGGGATATGAACGCCGCGATAACTGTTGAACAAGAGCACAACGATCCAGAGACGGTGCAGAAGCTGAATAATCTACTTTCCGAACGAGCCACGACGCTTGCGCAGATGGAGGTGACATTGAGCGCTTTGAAACAGGAGGTGAGTATCAAGGCGGGTGTAGATAAGGAAAGACTAGAAAGGGAGATAGTGGACCATGAGGTTAGGGTTGAGAAAGAAAAGGCTGGGAAGGCGGAGGTAGAGCATGCGTTGGAAGCGGTTGAAGATGGGACTGCTGCGAGGGATGAGGTGAGAAAAAGGGAACAGGAGAGGATGCATGAGATTGGGAAAGTGCATCGGTAAATTAGAAACTCTCACTTATTAGAGTAAGGTTGGATTGTTATTAGTTGCTAGGTACGATTTATACAAAGTTTGGAAACAACAACGTTGAAAAATAAGTATTGTGTAGGTGCATAGTCTCTAGTCCGGAATAGGACTAGCAGGAGGCCCATGATAACCTCATATTATCTCTACACCACCGATACCTTCCTTACTACCGGCAGGTGGGTATCTTAGTTAATTTGATACTACCTAGTATGCTTTACCCTCCTGCTTCCCACGCCTTTTGTAGTAATCATTATACGCTACAAGGCCATTTCCTCGATAGAAGCCAGCCTTATGCCACTGATACTCAAAAAGACAACCTTGGAACACATTGAAATGTTACTCGAATCTTGTTGTCAAGATCCACTTTGCTAAAATAGGAGATCACAAGTCTGTTTTCTTAAGATCCCCTCGCTTTGGAATACGCCATGCTATTTCCTTTTACTTATTCCTATTTCTGCACACAACTTTCACTGCTCCTTTCTATTCCTCTTCAGAGAGTAATACTTGTTATTTCCCTTCAGAATGATTTACGATATTCCCCTCATTCCAGAAGGCCAAGATATGCTAGGAGGGAATACTAGAACACTAGGTAGTTTTAAAAGGCAGAGGAAGGAACAGAAAAGATAAAAAAATTCTTAGTCAATGTATGAGGACGAGGAAGATTTACTCATAGTTTTCTAGTACGATTGACTGTTGTTTCTGACCATTTAACAAGTTGGCAATGCGGAGGTTGGGAAGAGGAGTGTGACATGTCGATGCCATTGCAAATTTGAGGGAGTACCCCAAAGGCAATCTACGTCACGCTATCACTCGAGCATCTCATGACACGCTTTGAATTATTTGAGACACCTCGTAGAAGAGGGCCATATCAAAATTATGCTTTATTGATATGAATTCAGATGGCTCACTCCCACCCCCAGCTCATTTGTATGATTCAACTCAAAAGAATTGACAAAAAATATGGGTCACCAGATTTGAAGTACTGCAAATTCTGGACGTATACCCAATATAAGTATGAAACCTGAGAACTATGGTGCTATGGCTTGATATCATTCAGGCTGCTACTCTTGCGTGAACTTTCCGAAACATTGAACTTGACTCCTTGAGCCAGTGTTTGTAAGTTTATAAATGGCTATATACTGCTTTGATGAAATCTCTTCAAAGCCCTGAATACTTGCAATGGTATTACCATTGAGACCTTAGAACTTAGAAGAGAATCGTATTGATATACCTGTGTCTCGGTTGCCTTTGAACTCAACACAGAACAGCAGGTGTACAAATCATGGAATCAAACGAGCACGAAATGAGATGATAATTCATACTAGGCAAGGGAACAAAATGAATCAAAATGGGATAAGATAACTGTGCATGGTGTACTAGAAAAAGGGGAAGAGAGGCCCGTAAGAAGTCAAGCCTCTGTGAGTTATAAATCAATTGGCTCTGATGATTGTCCCGAAGGAGCAAATCTTCTGTCTTATACCTAGAAATCCTGCAGAGAGCTGTTAGCTCGGACTGGGTAGACGTTTGGAAGAAATGATTCAGAGCATTTTGGATAGGAGCATGAGCACCATGAAGTTTGTTCAATTTAATTTTTGATTTGGCTAGAATTTTGTACTCCAAGCAGTACATCTTTCACCGCATGTCCCGGACTAATCGAATACTGGAAGCAATCACATTCGCGATGATGCGCCAATACTTTCGCTTTCGTTCCGACGCTGAAGAAATCTGTAGACTGCATTTTCCGACTTCCCCTAGGGAAACATACTGTTTGATACTCCGGGACGAACACATTCGACGAAATTATCAGATGCTACGCAATCAAGATAGATGTACGTGAAGAGTGTCGGCGAGCCCGAGTACAAAATACAAAACAAGTATTGACATGCAGAAAAATGGACCAAATTGGAACTTCACAGTCATGCCATGCAGGATGTAGTCAATCGTCTCAAGAATCAGGACTTCCAAGGTTTGAGACGTTGCACATGCATTGCAACATTATCCAGCATTCATTGATGCACTAGTTGCGGCACAATAGATCTGCACCTTTATCGATAGGTATTTCATTTGCCCCCTCCGTACGCACGTTAGAAGGTCCAGGGGTCGTTAGCACACCTAGTCGTCGTGAGTCGAAAGGGATTCTCACGATGAACGACAGGTTTCTAAGACCGGGTAAATTCCCTCAAGAGTCGTGTTATTTTAATTGGGGTTTATAGGTTAGCTCTGACAAATCAAATATGGGTCTCGAATTTAGCCATTTCTATCTATTGGTTCGGGTTTCATAGGTATAATCTCCATCTACAATGCGGGACAGAATATAGAATTTCTAGAACTGATCACGTCGTCACCTTGTCAATATGCCTTGTTACTGTTACCTTATCACCTTGTCAACATTCTCAACTTGTTTTGGACTCAACATCTGAACGGAGTATTCATAGGTACATGATCTCATGTATTACTGACACGTTATTTTTATATCAGCAGTTTCCTATTTAATCTAGGAAAGAGGGGCAAACCCATGCAACTCGAGGCTGAAGGATTATATTGCACCATTCCATTTACAGTAATCCCAAAGCAGAAAAAGCCAAGTGTAAATGGAGAAATGAATTTATAAGATCTAAACAGATATACGAAGAGAATCATTTTGGCGTAAGATGGGCATTCTCATACACGCATTCTCGTACACGGTATGAAGTTTGCTTGAGTTTGCTTACATACATGCCTACCATTTCATTTCATCGTATCTCACCGCAGAACCGGATTTGAACATGAAGATTAACTTCATACAATATAAGGGACAGATAGTTGTAGTACAGCACGTCCAATCTTACATACTCGGCCGGTACAATTCAATATCAATGGATATTCAGCTTTTACCTGAAAGTTCACCTCGCCCACCCAGTGATATCAATTGCTTTAGCGGAGAAGATGGAGTCAACCAACCAAGTGGCCTTCTTTACTCCAAAAACATTACCGAATGAGAATTATGACAATAATTTGGCAACCTAATAGACCGATTTATCCTTTTCTCCTCTTGTCGCACAGCATACATATCCTGCACTGTTGTAAGTTTCAACCTGCCATCGTATTCCGAAAAGTAGAACATGAAACACCATCTTTCTCAATTTCATAAGCAAACCATCTTACAACAAACATCGCATACAATCCATCGCTCCGCACTTGCATATCCGTTCAGATTCGGATGCACTACAGTACAAAAAGAACATGAGATTTTAATTCCTTATTCCCTTCACTCTTTGCATCTGCATAACTCTTTCCACGTTGTGCTGCAACCTCAATCTGCAATGCAACATAGTAAGACAAACGAGCCAACCAAGGCTTACCGGCCCCCAATCCCAGATCAGCGATTGTACTTGACTCTTCCCTTTTGGTCCTCTATGTATGATTTCCCTCGGCAAGGAAGACAGCTTGTACGCATGGCAAACCGGGATATTCTCAACTCCCCTGGCCTCCCAAAATCTCACCGTGGCCACATCAAGCCAGGACTGCTAAAGGAAACGCTGCAGGAATTCCACATGCCATGCCTGTTTAATATGCACACACATGGGTGCGCACATTATGTATGCATATGTAGCATTTAATTTAGTGTAGCACATGTAAGCAAATTGAACGTCGTTCTCTACGCCGCCCAGCTTGCCATTCTGCGTTTCATGAGTATGTAAAACGTGCTGTACCTGATGCTGCACCCACCTGATCTGAAATGCCTAGGAGATGCAGAGGCGTTGTTACTAGCAGAACTCGTCCAGCTGTTTGTTGCTATTTGTGAAGGGGCTGTGTCATGATTTGGGGAAATTATGTACACGATGGAAACAAAATTTCTTGAAACCGCAACGATAACAGATGCAAAGGACAATTAATGAGTGCAGTTCTCATCTATCTGGAATTTCCAAGCCCAATTTGATGCGAGTGAAATCTGATTATTCAAGCTGTGTAGGTATCACATACAACTACACTGCAGATTGGTTCGAGGCGTGATGCTATAGTGTATGGTATGTCGCACATCAAATCAACTGGACATCTCTGCTCAATATTACCTCCCCCCAACCCCCAACCGAAACCAATGAATACAGTCGTGTCTCCCCCAAGAACTGCAAAGTAAGAATTTAATAATCACAAAGTACACACCGACTAATCATCCAGCTTGCAATGTAATGACTATAGCATTGCCAAAGAAAACGCCTCGTCGCCACTGGCTGAACTCAGAACCAACTCCCCTTTCCACAACCTGTTTACCGCATTTTTTGGACCCCGAGTAGTACTCACGAACCTGACTCGTCACTGCTAACTTGACGCCTTCTTACATTTCCGCTCGACTGTAAGAGTCATCTTCAGCATTCATTACCTCGACACGTATTTCTTACCCTCCTCTCCAATTGACTCGTTGATTCGTGAGCTCGTAAGCTAGCTCGTCGATTCGTCGAGAGTCCGGCAATAATCAATTAATCAATCAGTCAATGCCTTCTCCATTGTAAGTCGCACATTCAGCCCGGGAGAGATATCAAATCAAATAGACTAAATAAGCGTGAAAATTGAATTCGCATCCCACATTTCCATACGACAGCTTTAGTACATACAAATACACCAAAAACATTCCCCATTCAGTCTTAATAATTTGATATCTTAATTCTTTTTCATATTTCCAAATCCATAATACATTTAATCTATATACCCAATGTATACCTGGTATAATGATCCCATGATTGATTCCAAACAAAACGATTGACAATGCCTCTTTAAAAGCTTCTAAGGAGAAGTTGGGGGTATAACATTGCAGATTGCAAATGACAACAAGACCAGACCAGAAAAGCCAGTACAAAGTAAAAATAGAAATAAAAAACAAACAAGCAAACAAAAATGATTTTTATCGCTCCCAAAAAAACAAGACTCGCTATAGCCGGATAAATAAAAGTGCTTGAAAGAGTGTAGAGAAACGAAGTAGATGACCATATACATAAAAA